GAGGCGCCGGATTACAATACTTCAATTATATCATAAATTATTATCCATTATGTCTACGATTGTTCGTTCTTTTATTTTTTTGCGAAAAGCCTTTGCGACGGATTTCGATTGTAACAATAATTCCCCTCCGACTGTGACGTTGAGCGGCGGCGGGTCATGCAGGATCACTGCTACCACCGCCACTTCAAATCACTTCCGTTGTCGCCACGTGCCACATCACCACACCGAATCAACTACATTATACGACTAGTTATGTATAAATATAATAATGATATATTATACATAGCGCGCACAGTCAAAAATATTATGTATTATATACAATGCGGTCGTCTTCGTCGTCCTCATCCACCATTGCTTCCTTCTTGAACGCTATACTACTATATTGCTGCTGCTCATGCTGCTATTACTACTCCGCTACTCCTACTACTAATATTCTACCCTCAGTCTTCTCCTTTTCCTCATAATCATTGTCATATTCTACACCCTCCTCCCACAATACCCAACCATCAGCCAAGCTCGCTTATTATTCGCGAGCACTCACTTTCAATTAAAGTCGTTACGGTATCAATTTATTATACGCGATAATAATATTCATAACCATTTGAATATAATATTTATATGTATATATATATAATATTGTGTAGATATTTGTGAGCTCTGGGAACGAAAATTATAAATTATTATGCGTGATACATTTCACGTGTTTGGCTAATATTATATACTTGTGTATATGTATAGATGTATAAACGTTTATGTAAATGCATCGGGCGGCGGCAAGTTTATTATGCAAATGCCGAGTTAATGGAGTCAAACGCGTAATAGTTTGACGCATTGACAACCACCCCGAGAATATAACGTGAGCAACCGAGCGAAAACTCCGGAACGACGGCTGAGGCGCGTGCACGCGACTGCGTCAGCGGCCCCGTGGAGGGGGTATACGAGGAGTGGAAAGGCAGTCATGATTGTGGTTGGAATGGATAAGGGCAGTCGAGGGGCGGAAATGCGAAAAGAACTGTCGTCAAACACTTAAGCGCGCCCCTGATCACAACGATTCGAAACGCGCCACTACCGCTGTCGTCGTGGTATGAATATTTTGTGTTATCGTATTCCTTTAATAGTAATGAATATGCTCGGAACTTAGGTTATTGCCATCGCGAAACACACTAAAAAAGAATATGCACTCGAACAATATATTATGTATATAGAAGGGTAGGTACAAATTACGCAACTTCATAGCTGCGTACAGGGCCTTATAAGTCATGTGTCGTATGTACATTAAACAGAATTTGATAACGTTGCAAAGATATAAAATTGAATTAAATTTATAGTAGTTAAAAATATATATAGGCACATACAGATTGTAATAATTTATTAGGCACGTTCCGTGGATAATATTGCTTTAATTATATCTTAATATGTTATATTTGAATCATAGGTTTTGCAATTTTGAAATACTGATTTTGTAGCATACTCCTAGGTAGATACTTAATGTATCTATCATCTATGTGTATTATGCACAGATTATTCATATAATTAATATTATAAAGATATAATTTACGTATTATAATATACATTAGGACAGGCAGTGCCAAGCACTAGTCAAATTCGTTTTTAGATAGGTAATAACATATTATTAATTAATTTAAATGTATGTAATACTGTTGTATATTTATTATAATATACTAATATGGTACCTATGAGGTACTAACTACTAATTGTATTTAACTTTTCGTTGACAAAATACGTGTTTATGCAACTTGTTAATTGTTATTCTGTAGAAATTTAAAATTAAAAGTTCTTGTATTATCGTAATTTATAGATGCTACTAAGTTTAGTTTTTACAATTATCATTTTCAAAAAAAACTTTTGCATGTAAAACTTGTGACAAGAATAATAATAATTAATAAGTTGGGGATGCTGAGTGAGCTTACCTTATTAAATTTTTAATTAATCTCGTCAAATACTTTTCTAATTATACTGTTTTAATGTTGCTGCACAGCACAACATTTCCTTGATTCAACGTATTTCAGAACAAAATAAATACTTTTTTCAACCTTTTACTTTATTTTAAATACCATCTATTAAATTTAAAATATTTAGAGGTTAGATAAAAGACAAACTAAAAGAACTTAGTTATTTGTATTATTAATTACCACTAGTACGTGAAGTATAAGTTTGAAATTGATACAGATAAAGATTATATGTGGATTATAGTTAATTATTGGGTAATTACTTCAAAATTATAGATATAGTTCTCAGTTATGGTAAATTTAAATAAAATATTTTTATTTCATATTCTGAAATGGATATCAATATTGATAACTTTGTATAATGAATATCAATGAAAATAATTTTTTTTATTGAACACTACTAAGTGATTTTCAAATGAGTAATTGTTTAACTTCTCGTTTTAGATTTAAAATTATTTTTGGCATTTATTAAAAAAATGTAATTCTTGTAATCTAAATTCAAAAATGACTATTACAAAGAACTTTATTACAAATATTCGTGGCAAAACTTAGATTGTGCAAGAAGGCTTAAATTTAACATTTAAAAAAACATATAACCTAATAAGTACACATTAGTATAATTATCACTATAGCGGTATTAACTCTTCCTATAAATTCTGCTTAGTAGGTACTTTCATCTATGAAGCGAATAAGAAAACTGGTAAAGAAATTTAATTCTTCGAAACTATTTTAACATTTTCATGTAGTATTAAAAGTCAATTAACTTATGCGGAATCTTGTATTACATTTTTACGAATTTTACCTAGTGAAAAATGTTTTACCAGTATAAACAAAAAAAAAAAAAAATTGAAAATTTCTCATGCTTTTAAAAAGCCTAAAAAACATTTGAAATATTTGAAATATTATACTATTATGTATACAAAAATACACAATAACAATATATACACTTGGTGAAAATTTCAAGTTTTTACGGTTATTGGTTTAGAATTGTAACAAAAAAAAAAAAATCAATTTCATCAAAAACTGATTTGGTGTAAAAATTTGCGTTTTTTATTTTTCTCGATTATTAATAGATTGGAATTTTTTTTTTTTTAAATCTCCCAAAGTACCAACTAGAATCGATTTGCTTCTAAAAACTACCTCACAGTTTTCAGCTAAATAATTCAAAATTAAATTGATTCAGTGAAGTCCATTTAAAATTTGGCAAATATCTTAAAAGATTTATTTTTATTGTGACTACGTAAATAAAGACAAATAAAACGATGAAATGGTCAGTCTTTAAAATTTATAGAAGCTATGAATAACGGAACTTTTTGTTCTGGTGCATCGTGCATATACTTATTGTATTGAAGTTGGTATTTTAAAATACAAAAAAGAAATTATTAATATTGATTCAGTTAAATAAATACAGTTAGTTAATTTAATTAATAATGATTTCGGTGATTGCATTTAAAATTAAATTATTATTGAATAATGATTAAATATTACATTTAAATATTTAATATATGTTTTATAATTATAACGGTTTTAGGAATCTAACGTTCTTCATGTATGAAATAATGTTTGAGATTAAAATAAAAATAGAATTAGCAAGTTCAATTGTTCCAAAAAATAAACTATTTAAACTAAAATAGAAAGATATTTAGAGATTGGTTATAAAACCAAATTACATTACAGTTAATTAGGTGAGATAGATAAAGAAGTCGAAGTTGGTAAGAAACTTGGTGAAACTTTATAGTAATCAAAATAGATTTGAAGAAATATTATTGATTATTATTGAACTATAATTCACGCCAGAAAAATTAAAACAATATCAAACAAACGCTAAATTTATCAATCGGAAAAACAGTCAAAATTAAAATTCCAAAAATTGAATGAAATAAAGTTGATATTCGCACATTACTAGCTGCAGTGTTATAAATTGTAGATGAGAACTTTTATCTACGGGAAAAAATGGGAATTTTCAAATTTTTCACGCGGAATCAGTTTATCATACTATGCAAAGAATTTTTTTTTTTAAATCGGCAATAATTCTAGTCAAACATTCATCAATCAATATCACAAACTCTTTCTAACTAGTGAACATGAATCAACAGAGTGAAATTACTTGAAAGGAATAAAAGTGTATTATAAATCTGTATAAGTACTAATCCAAAAATGTACTGAACAAATTAAAATATTACAATGGCCAAGTCTATGCAAATAAATTATAATTTTTGTTACAAAAATATGTCTAATACATTTAAATAATAATAGTTAAGCTTATGTAATAAACATGTAATAATAATATAAATAACCAACGCAGTACTGAGTATACCCACTTAAATATTTATTTTTCTTAAGTTAATGTATGATATTGTATTTTGTAACTATATACAAGTATAAATCTAGTGAAAAAAATATAGAACTGGTTTAAGATTTCAGACTTTTACTAACACTGATCGTTTATCTTATATGATTTATCAAATCTCATTTGTAAAAACTCAAACCGTAAAAATTAATCTCAAATTCGAACGTTTACGACAGGAATCGGGAAAACCTAAAATTTTCCCATTATAATCCTAAATTTTACCGGTATTCTTGCTTTTACCGTAACAATCTAACACATGTATGTATTATATTTATATATTTTATAATAAATCATATACTTATCATCGTGTTGTCGACCAATTATATTATATTCGATTAAACTATAATGACATACCTATAGCTGTTAAATATGACGTAGGTAATATACAATATATGATTAATATTAAATATTATTGGATATCACGTCACCGTGACAGAGATTTCGTCAAAACAGTATATATAATAATTTTAAATTGTATGACTTAGGCCCACCTACATTAATATAATTATAATAATACAGGTATGCCATAATATATCGGGCCATGGAAACCGACCAATGACTGCGAGCCATGATCGCACAGGGTGGGCGTGGGCTCGCTCGCCGTCCCGTTAGCGCGAATTCGCTCAAAGTCTTTTGCACATGTCAGTGACGTTAGCGAACTCCTCCGCGGGTGTCTGATACACACATTGTAACATTGTAACAGTGTACATCGTTATTCGTTGGTAATAATAAATATTTAACCTTAGTGCGTTTGACTGGTGCTCATCGTTCCGTGCAGTAGACTTCACTCGCCGCATCGAAAGTTTCGTGGCTATTCAGCAGGTACATATAATATATAAATATACAAACATAGAGAGAGAGAGAAAGCGAGAGAGGAAGAGAAAGATGTGATAAGTACCTTTTTGTTCATATCACTTTTATAAATTATATATACATTATTATAATTTCTATACAAAATAAAATATTAAATAGGGATCTATTATTAAAAATTATTTTAAAGTTATATGATATAATATGACTTCAAGCTATTTTTTATTATGAATATATAAGTAATTAATTCAAAATATTAATATAATGTAATTATTTCAAGCAATAATTAAAGTCAAATAGAATTCTATTTTCACGGATTCTTATAAAAACAATCTGTTTTTTAATCAAAATCATACAAGGGTTTTAAATCAATCTCTATTTAAATACAGATTTTTTTTATATTTATCTATACAAATAGATTTATTTGTTTTAAGTTTTACTTAAAATCAATTAAATTATATTAATATTTTAATTACTTTTACAAATTATAATGACAACTATAAAACTACATAAATTATTATTTTATAGTGATGATATATTTACCTATTCTATATTATGTAGGACATCATTAAAGTTATAGACCTTATAATATTTTATAAGGTCTACGATTGTAGTATAGAAATAAAAACAGTTATCAGAAAATAATATTAATTACATAGAACCATATAATATATTATATTACATCTGTAGACTGTAGTCTGTACACAGATACAATGAGATCTATTTTTACGTATAAGTTCCTATAAACAAGTATGATTTAGTTTAGAAAAATTAATTCAATTGTTATTTTTTATTATCTACATAAAGTTTAAAAGATATGAAGATTAATTTAACCATTGCAAAGTATGTATACTTATTATTTAATTACATCTTAACTACCTATTAAATTATCTGATTGTTCTTTTTAAATAACAACAATAATGTATATGACATTATGAAATTTACCATATGTAAAGTATCTACTGTAGTTGATAATTTGCTATGTCGTATGTTGATTTTATAATAGCATTACAATCGTTGCGGTATAAGCATTAGAAAAAACATTTTGTAACGTAAAAATGTATACGTATGTACGTTCAAGTATTGTTTAATGTTCTGCGATGTATATGCACTTAATATTCACCTCGCAGATAAGTGCTGTCATATTATTATTATTATTATTATTCTAATATATAATATAATTTTAATAAACCATATACTTTCTATTTAAATAGGTACATTTTGTAATTAAAAATTATTAATATGATATTTTGCTTATTATACTATAGGTAGGTATATTATTTATTATTATCAGGAATGTAAATTTAGTCCACTATACAACAATTCGAAATCCATTGCGTTAGGGCCGTTTACAGTAAAAATGTAGAGGTATTTGTACTAAAAATTCTAAAATATACGAAATCATGAAAAATAAATATAATAATATAACTTTTGAATTATAGGTGAGTATATTGCTAAAATATACTAATAAATTAACTAAATTCTTATGTAAAGAAATGTAAATATTAATACCTGTATTTTCTTATAAAAAAATAAGATGAAATAGACTTACAAAATAAAAATGAAAATTACTTGAAAAAATATTTATTTTTTTCTTTCAAAATTTTTTATAATAATATAATATATTAATATACATTACATTTAAATATTTAAAGTAAAATGCATTAAAAAAAAAAAATGAATCCCTAGAAACTTAGCTAGTGATGGAATAAATAAGTTGTTATATTGGTTTATTGAATAGAGTGTAAATAATAGTTGATGTGTAAACATTAACAAATATCACACATTTTTTTTTTATCATAATCATAAATATATAATAAATATTTTATTAATAGTCTAAAATTAGAAGTGGTTAAAATTATTAAAAACCTGGGAATTTTTTATCATTTAATCTAACTTTCAATACACACATGAGCACTAAATGTTCAAAAGTTTACAGAAATTTAGGATTTATTAAACGGAATGGTAAACAATTTAAAAATATATATTGTTAAAAATTTTGGATAACACATTAGCCCGATCTGGGCTCAAATTTGGTACAGTGGCTTGGAATTATAGAAAAATAGGCTAAATAAAATTGAAAAAGTATAAAGACATTTCCTACGTATAATAGGCTTAAATTTAATCTGGATAGTTCTCTTATTTCGGAAGTAGAGCGGCATTTTAATACATATATGACCTTATTGAAATCTAGACATAATTTTATAGATGCATATTTCGTATACAAACTTTTGAATGATTTCACCAACAGTCCGTAATTATTGCAAAATATTTCATTTAGCGTACCATCAATTTCACTCATAATTTCTACGGGTTCTATATTAAAGCTCAAGTTAACAATTTTGTACTAAGCAGTTCTTTATATCGAATATTAAATTTATGTAACGTGTTAAAGAATGTTGAATTTTTTGTAGATGATAAGGCAAAATTAAAACGTTATGTTTTAAATGTATTGTAGATGATTAATTATAATGTACCTATTCTTCGAAATATTATATAATGATTTGTTTAGAATTATATTATTTGTATTTTTGCCCTTCGTTGACATTAACTATTTAACAAATAAATAAATTATAAACGTACTTAAATTTAAATTTTGAAATTATTTACATATATACAATTGTATACAACTTATTTTAAACATTTTAAATGAAAGTTCACCTAACAACCAGTTTATAATAAAGTTTTATTACACAAATAGATTTTTTATTGAAATTCTAAAATAAATATATATATTTTTTTTTAATACTAAGAGATTACATTAAAATTGGACGAACCTAAGTAATCTAGAAAATATTTTACAAAAGCTTTTTATATAATTTCTAATCTCATGCATACTAGCATGTTTAAAACTAATATAATGAATGATATATTTAATTTATAAAATTGTTTATACAGTAACCTAACTGATAATACTTTTAGAGCCTTTTAGATCATATTTACTGAAACAAAATTTTACTACATGAGTTTGTTGTATTTTCAAAAATCTTATTGCATTATCTGTATTATCTACATAATTTTATTAAGCCATGTTGAATAATTGATTTATACATAACATAGTGTAGGTACAGCGCATATTGTTTGTATATTTTAAAAATAACTGGCTTTAAACGTTTTAAACGTATAACCATTATTATTCAAATGTACATTCTAATCAGTAATGACTCCTAAATACCTTACTCTGATAACTTTATATATTTTTTAGCAACCACAAAAATTAGAAATTATATTTGGTACCTATATCACAAGACTGTATGATAATATTATCAAACGTTATTTACGCTATAGTTAAAGAGAATGCTACGATAAACGTATAAAATAATTGTGTAGTAAAATATCCTATAACTCATAACTCAAAGAGTATCAGGTTTGGCCAAGAAATTACAATTTTTAATAAGTAAATAAATATAACATAGGTGTATGACCCATCTCACCACTGGGGATATCCTCTTATCGGTGATGATGGATTGATGGAGTAGGTACAATTCAGAAATAAGTATACATTTTAAAATGTTATAACATTTTTGGTATTTCCAGCAAAAACTGCATCATATTTGACTATAATTCAAAAACATAATAGACATACCTAGTAAATAGTACCTAGTGATTAATAATTAGTAAAGTAGTATAAAAACATAAGAACAATATTACAAGAAACACGCGATAAAATATATATTTAAAAAACAGTTACCTATACACACTCAAGTCGAAAATCCCGTGCTTAGAATAGTATTATTTTTTTAATCGAATTTCGCTGATTTCGAATTCGTTGAAACGGAAGACTATTAACTTCTCGGCCCACGGCTCTGACGATTATTAAGAGGTGCGTTAAAAATTTGACCTACGCAGTAATACGCGCATGTACGTATTATATTATATTATTATAACTATTATAGGTTTGTATACGCTTGCAGTAATCAATAGTGTTATTGAAGTTTTCCCCGCACGGTACCTATCGTACACCAGCTACGTTTATAAATAATAATAATAATAATGATGATAATAATAATAATAATATATCGTTCAAGGTGGGCTAAACCATCATAAGTTGTGCAGAAGACCACCCGCCCGACATGACAACGGCTGACAAACGCAGTGTTGGTGCGCGTGCGGCAGTGCAACCGTCGTCGTCGTCGGCCGGGCCTCTGTCGGACGCAGGCTGCAGCGAGTCTGCGGCTGAAATGAGTCGCAAGTACCAAACGGCATTCCAATCGTTCTCCATCGAATCTTTGATCGGCAGCGGCAGCGGCGGCGGCGGCGGTGAGACGTCTCCGCCCGTGGCCGACGCGAACATTCCGCCGGCGCCGTATTACGCGGACGCGGCCGCGATGCAGCTGCAGCAACGGTCAGCGTTAGAACCGTCGTCGCGATGTTGAACTTTGATTATTTGAACGTGTTACGGCTGCAGTCAGCCGCGCCCGCCGCGGCCGCCGTCGGCAAGTCATCGGACCCGCGTCACTGTGGCCATGAGGCGACGCGGTCGCGCGCCGGGGCGCCGCCGCCACAGCCGCCGCCGTTGTGTTACCACGATTACCACGGCGGCAATGTACGCGACGTCCAGCGGACGTTCCGCCGCCGCCGCTTTCGGATGCAACGCCGCCGCCACCGAAAACGACGCGGACTCGGGAAACGCCGGAAATCGCGAATCGTCAAACGCCTGCAGCACGTCGGCCGTCGCCGATGGAGGCAACGATGGCGGCGGAGGCTATGACGACGACGACGACGACGACGATAACGATGACGATGACGAAGACGATGACAACGGCGGCGGCTGCGCGAGAGACAATGGCCGGGACATTGACGACGACGAGGACAACGAAGACGATGTCGACGACGACTCGCGGTTCGGTGAGTTTGTAATCTTAGTTATTGGCTATTAGCCTATTATGATTTATACCGATTATATCCATACCTGGATAAACTACTCGTTAAAATTTGGTTAGTGGTTCTCGTGTTATTATATTACATTTCAACATATTTAATAGGTAAACTTTAATGTTTGCAAAAACTTCTAACGGTGTTTTCCGTCGCGTTTCATCCGTGACGTATTGCCCGTATATTGGTTTATAGACTGTATAGTATAAAACGTTCTTGCTATGCGTATACCTTTAGTGTGAGCTTATAGATACTGTTTAAGCAAAAGTTTGAAAAATTCTTGGCAAATAAAATGTCCAATCAAGTATTTTTTGAGAAAAAATTATACGTTTTTTGAATGTGTGATGTTTGGTAGACGAACGTACGATTTTACAACATTCGTTTTACAACAAAACATAATCTATTTTTATTTTACATATTGACTATCGTATTTTATGAATTTATTTTCATAAAATAAGTGTGTCATTAGAACATTTGGATGAAACCATTTAGTTAAATGGCTTAAATCCAATGAATTAAAATTAATGAAAGAAAAACACTTTTATTCTGAATTGAATAATAATCCAGTTTTATGAAAGTTGAGATACCTGAAAAGTTATGTAAGGTTGAAATATCTAATTATTGCACAAAATTCTCGATAACTAAAATAAATTTAATTATTTAAATTATTATAATGATACTAAATAAACTAATTTTTTTGTTTATAAATTAAAATATTATTTTATAACATACTCGATCATTCATTATATTTTACTTCGTGTTGATATATATGAAAGCTTATATATTTGTTATTAAAAATGTTATATATTAACATATATACAATTATTATTATATTTTGTTTTATTTTTATTTTTTTAAATATTTCTTGTATTTATAACTTAAAAATATATTTTTAAAAAAAAATTTAAATCACCTTTTAAAAATATTTTTATTCAATATTTATAAAATTGGAAAAATATGCATTAAAACTAAAAACTACATATCTAAATTTTATTGTTTTGCATTAAATGTTTTTCTTTTCGAGTATTCAGTTTCCCGGATAGTTTGCTCTCTATAATAATATGTCTATTGTACTAATATTATATTTTTGACTACTGCCTGGTCACGCAATATTCCCACATATGGTCAACTATTGTTGACTATTTTTATGACTCTCTCTATTTTATTTACCACCCACTTCCGTCTTTCAGCCATCGACCATTTTATGACTAAATGACTAAATTTTTATTGACAACAAACAAGACTATGAGAGTGACTTAGATGCTGAAAGATTTTCATAAATTGAAAGTCATATATACATTTTTGATTCATTAAGCAAGTTCAATACATATCTTCTTTTATTTCATCTATAATCACTGTGAAAGACAAATTAATCAATCAAATTATGTAAAGTTTTAACAACAATCAAATTTCATCAAACAATGAAAAACATTTTCCTGATTATTAAAATTTATTAACTATAAATAAAAATGTTTAAAATATTTGAATTCCATTAATTCTCATTCACTTAACACACAAAAAAAAAAATACATTTTTATTATAAGCTCCTTGTTTGTTATAGAACAAGAAAATAAAATACAATAATATTGTACAATATAATTATACATAATAATAATAATAATATATAATATATTGTATTTTTAATGATTAAGTAAATATATGAATCATAAATACATTATCATCAAACCTATAGTTGAAAAAACTTGTATAAAATATAAAATTTTGGGATTATTTTAATTTTTTAAATTATATTTTGCTTATAAAAATGGTTTAAATAAATAAAATTGATCAATATTTCATTTAACTTTTCAAAATAAAATTTAAAACCCCAAATTGTTTATGCCAAAGTAAATTTATCTCTTTGAAAAAAATAATCTACCGGATACTTACCCGATTTCCAGTCAATAGACACATTATAGTTATTTATTTGAAATCATAAATAAACTATGAATGAAAAACAAATAATAGTAAAATCAATAAAGAAAATGTCTATTAAATAAAGATAAAAATGTGTTTGAGTTTTAGTTTAACAAAATTAGTTATTTTATAGTATATAGTGTTATCGTTGCCATGAAAAATGTTGTAGGTAAAATGAATTAGTTATTCAAATTATCTATTAACAACTTAATTGGCATAACGAATCATGGATCTATAAAGGTGAGAAATAAAGATTGGGCTGATCTTTTTTTGTCGTTTTTTGGTTTTAATGCAAGCGAGAAATGTTTATTGTTTTCACAACAATATTTACTTGTGTTTAAAATTTTTTTTTGTTTCTGTGAACACATATTTTAGTAAACAAAATTCTAAAAAAGTTTCTAATACTACCTTCAAAAACCTGAAATCAAATCTAAAAAATATAAATCTGCCATTAAATAGATTATTTTTCTGTATTATTAATAGTTTTAAAAGTTTAATTAGGTTCAAAAATTTTGTACGTTTATATCACTCCAGAACTTTTCTAGAAAAAATTCTGAAAAATGAAAGAAAACACGGTTTTTAACGATTTCTGCATGGTTTAATTTAATGAACCTAATATTTAATTTATCGCTTTCAAATTTATTATTATTGTAACACAAAATCGTATTAACATTTTTATAAATTACGCGAGTGTGGGAATTATAATTTTGTATCTCCAGATTATTTTTGGAGTAAAAATAACTACATCCTCGTGTCCAAAATTCCAACCATGTTATCTATACACTATTACACAATGAAATAAATATATATATAAATAACAAACATACAGTTTTAATAATTATTTTTTTAAATATTTCCAGGAAAATGCCTAAATGATAATGGAATTCTACAAACAAAACAAAATTCAATGGCACAGTCTTCAAATGAAAACAAGTCTCGTCGAAGAAGAACAGCATTCACGAGTGGTCAACTTTTAGAATTGGAGCGGGAATTCCAAGCTAAAAAATACCTAAGCCTAACTGAAAGATCTGAAATTGCAAACTCATTAAAGCTAAGTGAAGTTCAGGTAATAATATTTATGTAATATTGATATTATAAATGATGATAATGTTATACAAATTAACACATAGGTAGTATATATTGTGTGAATGAACATTAGACATGCATATTATATGTGATATTATGTAATGACGAATTATTAAGAAACTAAACTGTATACCATACGAATAAATAAAATAAGTTAGTAGGCAGGTACATACGTATAACAATTTACAGATAAATATATTCATCTCGTAAATCAGTTTTGAATTTGAAAACAATCAGATAAGACATACGTCACAATTTAATCTTTGTGACATAATATATAAATAGGGTTTAACTTTTTATAACTTACTATAGACAAATAAAAAATTTAAAATGTCTAATCCTTTAAGTACCTCCAATGAGTGGTTTCTTATCTCCTGTCTCTCAAGCCATGTTATTTATTATCTCCGTCGCATATGCTTATTGTAAAATAATAATTACAGATTGTATTTAATAATAATTGTAAAAAAAAAAGAAAATAAAAAAAAAGAATGATCAATATCTAATCTAAATAAACATAATTACAAATGTATTTGTAATTTAAAATATTAAACGTTATCGTTTTAATAAGTGTATAAGTAATTTTAAAACTATTTCATATATTATTATTCTAAAAAAAATAGGTACAATTAATGACATCATATACTTTTAACTTTAACCAATGCAAAAGTTGTTCGAAAAATGTAAAATAAAGATGTTGAGAAACCTACGTATAAATTACTATTTATTTGTTTAAAAATAAAATAGCTTTTAAGGATACTACAATAAAAATAAATCTAAGCAACTAAAGTGCTCCATTAAAGCCCTTTAATCTGACTCTAATCAACTAACTAAAACGCCTCTTATATATATTTCTGGTCGTTAATCTTATGACTGCTCCTAATTTTGTTTCTTAGTAAAATCACACATTTACTACATATACGTATTTTTTCTTTATTGTCTTAAAATCTTCAACCATTACTACATTAAAAACTCTACTGACAACTAATCGAGTTTTCATTATATTAAATAATGAACAATAAACCAACTATATGTTATATCACAGCTGTTGGAAACGTGATGTAGGTATATGCAAACGCGTATATTTCAAATTTCAAACAGTGAAAACCTCAATATAACAGACCTTAATGATAATTAAATTCTAAACATTATTAAAAAATACATAAGGCTATTTTCATAAATTAAATATTGCATACCTATAAATGATGTATTCTATTATATACTGTGTCTGTATAGTGTATAAAAGTTACAGCATGCACTGAGTAGGTAGATACTATTCTTTAAGAATTTTGAAAATAATTTGTTAATTTGATGCATAAACAAACTTCTAATTAAAGCATTTGTACAATTAAGTCGGAAATATTTAAGATTTATGTTATAACACATATATTTTTTTAATTTTATATTTATTAAAAAATTTCTTATAAGCTAGAGCACATGGAATTTGATGTTGACAGAAAACGCATAATTTTCATTATTTGTTTAATGATACATACTATACATATTACATAATTTATTTCTAACTATTAATTATCATCATCGCCTATTTATAAATAAGATACTAAAGAGAGAAGTATTCAGTATTCAGTTTACATATTGACTATTGGCTATTGTAATAAGCTATTTCACGTTTAAAAGAATACGGGATTTTCGATAAGTTGAAATTAATCGCAAAAACTTAAAATATTTCACTATTAATTCAATAATCATTTTCTAAATACAATTAAACTTCCAAAATATTTAGACTGAATTTTAGCTTTTTACAAACATTTGAATCTTTTTAATTTATTTTTTTTTTTTTTTTTTTTATTAGAAGAACAAAAGACCGCGGCAGCTATGGCCATTGGTCAGACAGTGACTAAAATAAATTACATAGCTACATATTTACATACATTTTTACAATATACAGGTTATATTTCTTTGAATAAGGTAGATTTTTTTAGAAAAATAAATAATTTTTGAGTTGCGGTTGGTTCCGGGCTGAGGATTTCGTGTAAGTGGGTTGCTCCAAGGGTTTCCATACGTTCTTGTTGGTTATTTCTGCATTCTGTGAAGATGTGCTTGATGGTGAGTTGGACACCACAGGAAGTACAGTTGGGGGGGTCCTCTCTTGTCATAAGACAAGAACTCCGGTTCCCTTTCAAAACGAAAAAATCTTTCGCCTTTTTTTAATTTATTTATTATTTTTCCTATAAATATTAATAAAGTTGTTTTTACGCTCGACCTAACAGCTTGAAAATTATGTAATACAATCGCAATTTATCTAACAATTAGAATACGTTAAAAATACATAGAACAATATTTTTTTCATAAGTATTTGAATTACAAATTTTGACAAAAGTCGTCAAAATCACGTAAAATAACAAATTATTTTTTAGTAAAAATACATTTAATTTTTAACTTTAATACCTATGGGCTATGAGGCTTGACAATTTTGTACACGGTTCTTCATAAATTTAACTTACAGTACAATAAAAATTTTGAAGACACAATGCATATTTTTTTTTAAACATTTCAAGTTCAAATTAAAAAAAAAAAAATCATATATTTAAACAAAAACTAATGAGTTTTGCTGTTTTGTTGTAATTTAAAAGTATTATTTATTATTGTCAGTATTACCTAAAATTTTGTTTTATAAAAACTTCAAATTAATTAAAAAATGATAAGTCTTTTTGAGATAATGATTGTGTTTACGTTTATAAGAATTCTCTTCTTTATTGTAATAAATACTATATTTATATTTAATTCAATTAGCTTAATAATCCATTATTATCTATTGCGTAGGCTTACTTATTTATAAACATTAAGTAGTATACCTTAATTCTGTAATCATATAAATATTTTTTCTCTTTTAGATATTATTTAGTATTTTAGATTCTAAATTTTTTAGTTCAGTAACTAATATTGTATACATGCAGTCATTTATCGTACATACAACACGTATAAGTAAGTAAAATAAAAATAGTAAAAACGCATCTCATGTTTCTCTAATATATTTTATTTTATATCGCATTATCATTAAGAACGTATATATAACTACTGAATTTTGATTCGCCGAAATATGACATGAAGTACGTGATATTATTTCTTGGAGTACATTAGAAAATCACGCCTTCTAATAAATTTGCTTTTTTTACGTTCGAAATACTAACTATTTTTCTTTCACAAAACCATATCAATATATATGACTTACAGCCTTACAGGATGTTTAAACTTTTCACAACACGAGAATTTATAAAAACTGAATAATACTATATCGTTTGTATAGCTGCTATTACAATTGTATAAATAAAATACTCGTAGAATACCCGGTATTAAAATGAATAAAAGTTTACCCTTCAGACAACTACTATACGATCTGCACCCTCCTTTGAGTGGTAATGTATGTCGTGCGGTGGAATTAGCATAATCAGAGGACATCCGCTTTTTAATATTATGATTGTCAGGAAACAACATAAACGTTTTATAAATTCAATATCTCATAAAAGTGCCTCGACAATTTTAAGAGACGGTTGTTTTACCTATAAATAGATTGCATAATATTGTACTTATGTATATCATTACATTAAATTATTTTTTAACCTAATTTTATTGTACAGTTTTAATAATCTTCATCACTTATATGTAGATATATTTTATACAGCTATTCAATTTAAAGTTAATCAAAAACTTATATTATGTATATCAGTATCTAATTTATTATATTATAGTGGTTTTTATTTTTCATTAATTTGCCTTTTTTTCTTGTTATTTAAGGACTTGTTGATTAAACAAATACAAAACATAGAAAAATGATTAGGCAGACAACTTAATTACTTTTTTACTCATGAGCAGTTTTGAATCCAGACAATTTCCCTGTCGTTAATTTATATTATTTTGTTTATCTATTTCAGATTCTTAATTTTTTTTTTTTTTTTAAGAACGGCATACCCATAAGTGTTGTTTCGGTTTACAAACGTACGATATATATCAAATTTGGGTTCAGGAGTTCCAATTTTGAGTGGTAACTTTTAATAATTAAATAAATTGACTTATTATCAAACTTAAAGGTAAGAAAATTATCCTTATTTTTTTCATAATTTTTTTTACAATACTTTAACTTTTAATCGAATTATGAAAATTTTAAATTCTAATATTTTATAAATAAGCTTATAACTAGCTTTAAATAAAAATTCCATTTCACGATAAAGCACAGATAATGTTCTATTCCCTCTATAGGTTTTAGTCAATAGGAATCTTCTATAATTAAAGATTATTACACAAAATCGGAACTGTTGAACATAAAATATTTGATATGTTGTTCATTTGTAAGCCGGAACCAACTCAGGTGAGTGTAGTGCGTACTTTTGATGTAAATGTTTCAAAATGAATATCATTTAATTTTCAAAAAATGAAAAATATTTATTTTTTAATTTTTTATTTATTAAAATTAACACCACACGGCTTTTGAAAAAAACATTTTAAAAAGTTAATTTGATTTATTAGTAGGTAGGATAACTTCTTAAACCTGGCAATCTCAGGAACACGAATAACGAGTCATTCTAACAAACGAGGTACATCAATAACACCCTCAATTAGTTCGTTAATAAAACGACAAATTAGAGATAACGATTTAAATCTAAATATATCGCTGATAGAGCTATAATCGTAGGATAGATGTGCAATATTTAGGCGGTAACTGGTAAAATTTAGCAAGTGGTTCTAAACCTTATAAAATATACATTTTTACGGTGTATGCATAGGTTAAGATATGTCTTCGACGACAATGTTCCACTGTTAAATTTATAATGTAATTGCTCGTTCATAATTGATACTTTTTTCTCTTTCTTTACACCTACAGGTGAAGATATGGTTTCAAAACCGACGAGCGAAGTGGAAACGGGTCAAGGCTAACTTGTTATCCGGAAATGCATGCGGAAACGATGGCCAAAAGAGCAATGCCAACGTGAACGCGATGCGTGGCCGCTCGAAATGTCCAAACGGCGTGGTCGGCGGCGGAGCGGGAAAAATTGTCGTGCCTATACCGGTACACGTCAATCGGTTCGTAGTGCGGAGCCGACACCAACAGCTGGAGAAATGTGCATCAGGCTTTGCGCATCTCCGGCGCGACAGTGACGCGGAATTCAAAATCAAAAGTCGACTGCAGTTGTACACGTCCGCCATTCTGTAGTCAGATCCGGACCGTAGCCATCGAGATCGACCTTTGTACAAATATATTAAACTGCGTGTAAAAAATAAGTTATAGATTATGAAAAAGCGCAAACTTCGGAAAAAAAAAACACAAAATATTAATAATAAATTCAAATCTCGACATAAGAACATACACCTACCTATACATATAATGTTGTTATAAGTTATTTTGGGCAGTGTTATTTGAGACGAGTTTAAAATAGGTTAGAGCTTGATGCTTTTTCCAAATTTAGGCATACTATATAATTTAAGAAATATTGTAAGTAGACATTTATAATCTACCTACCTTGCTATTTTCAATTTGTGTACATATTTTTATAATAGTTAACAAGAAATTTACAATTCTTATGAATAGAGATTTTAACAGTTAACACACAAACACTCCGCACTCGTATAGTAGTATAGGTAATTGCATTACTCATTTTATGGTTATAGTATTCTAGCTAATATCAAAAGTTAAATGTTACGACGTGTATACTCCGATAAAAATAAATTTTGAAATAAGTTTTTGTTTCCTCACAACGTGTACATTGGTCCTATTAGTTCTATACAGGAATGACTGAAGCACAGTTTTTTTTGAATAAAGAACTATTAGTCTTGAACTCTTCGTACAAAGAATTTCTACATTATTAAAAATACCAAAGAGTTTGAGCTCAACGAATTTAATTTATATCATAATATTGTCATCACTTCGAAAGTTTGAATCTCCGGATAGACTAGATATGAAATTTAAATACTAAATATATAATAGAATATTGAAATTTGTACTGTATAATAATAACTATCAAATTAAGTTAACTGTATTTTATATACGTAACTATGTAGCTTATTAGTTATTAACATTGTGATTTTTATTTATAAAAATACTACAAATACAAGTTCTTATACTTTAAATTTAGGTAGGTATACATTTTTACAAATAGAACAGATAATTTTTTTTGATGAGATTTATCAATTATCATCAAAAACATACAAATAGTATATTGGTGATTACTGATTAGTTTAGAACATGGTAGACAAATGTAAAAATGAAAAATATATTGAACGGTTGTATTCAATACACTCTACTAGAAAACGTGCCTAGTACCTATTCTCATATATTATACAAAATACGTATTATGTTGGAAGTATACAAATATTTTTATAATCCTGTTCTCTCTTTTTTTTTTAATAAAATAATGTCAAGCGATAAACACATTATATGTATGTATACGTTTGAATTTTAAATATGCATTGTAAATATTTATCATTTAGGTAATAATTGATTATATTATTTTTATTCTTAAGTATCTTCTATAAATAAATCAAATAGATTTTAATATTTCATATTAACTATTATATTATATAGTTTTGTGTATAGACATTATAAAATATATAATATAAATTATAATCGTCACATGTTACATGCATACTGTAGAAAGAATTGCGGTACTTGTGCATTATCTAAGTTTGTAATATACTATATAAAAATACTGTACAAAATTAATAATTTATATGAACTTAAAAATAAAATAAAAAATATGGAAACTAAACTATAATGAAATTAACCAAGTGCATTCTACAAATTGATTTATACGTCAATGGTGTACTACATAATATTGTTCAAATCTTGTTGGGTTTAAGAGGATTGTTAAATATTATAATGTTACTAGTGGTCTATTCTAGTCGTATATTGGATACAAGCAAGTGTATTCCTACGGTATGACAGTATAACATAAAAAACTGTAAACATAAGCATGGTTGATGAACTTGGAGGAGGAAAAGAATAAAAATTTTTATTCTATAATTTGCAATTAAACTATATTAACTCCAAACGTGTTTCAATACATAGGTAAGTACGTGATACAGTTACGAAGAACTCGAATTTATTTATTTCGATTGTTATATATAATTCATTAATGAAAATAACATTTTAGACTAAGTTACAATTTATTTTAATTGAGTTTAAGCTGAGTGTAGACATAATATGTCAAAAAATGTTGACGTTCTGATATCCGTTGCGTAAAATGGATGTACATTTTATGAAATAGGACTTGATAAATTTGTATGCATCACATGATTACACAATATGGATTATGCGATCATAGATAACTTTTAATAAAATGGATACGAAGATGTAATATTACGGAACTTGTTCTGTAATCTGCACAACCACATGATAAAACAAAAATAGGTATAGGTATATACTGTATATTACATTTTTAATAAAAGATACCCATTTAATTTTTTCATTTAACTCTATTAATACTATTCAACTAATAAACTCATAATAAAACTTTCTAAAAATTATTCGTTATTTGGTCAGAATTAATCATATTATATTCTAGTAAATAATTAACGAATACAATTATAAAATGCAATAAAAAAACTAAGAAAATCAAAAATAAACATAATTATAACTATACTGTAAAACTACAAAGCATAGCTTATTTACTAATTTATAATTTTAACGTAATAGTTACAACTTACAAGTAATTATTTTAATATACAATAATCTTACAAATTTGATCTAAAATATATTTTACTTAAAAATGTATACTTGGTTATATACTTATGCATAGCTATTAGTTATTGGTAGTTACTAGTCTGTAATACATATACAATAATGATTTAATTTCTGAAGTTTTTACTCGTAAAGTAATTTATACTTATTGTAAACGTAGATATAATTTTAAATAATAATCACATTAGTTTTCCAATGGTATAATTGGTATAAAAGCTTACTTTTTCTAAAATAAATACAATGCTCAACATTTTCCTGTATTAGTGAATAGTTTAATTACTATTAAATTAAACATAATAATTATTTTGAAATAGATTATTCGATATTCTAAATGAAATGTTGCTATTTTTAGCATAAAAGTGTGCATCGTGTATGTTCAAGTATTTTTAAGTGTACAAACGTCCTAACCCAACCCTAATAATAACAATAATATTCTGTTAAATGGAAAACTTGGAAATGCACACGTATTATTACAATAATTGTATCATGTATATAATAAAATAATATATTATATTATTTCGTGTATAATAATAATAATAATACTATGTAGTTTTATATTTTTTGAAATGTTCGAAACGCATATTTATACATATAAATGTGCGCGTGTACGTTCTTTTGAAACTGCAGGCAATGGGATTTCATTGTTGGTTTTGAAGCGTTAAAGTTTAATGGCTTTTGGCCATTCGGGAGAGGATGTACCGGCCACGCCTCTCGCTGGAACCAAACGATATATAACACACAATGAATTAACGACATTATTTGGACCCATTAGTTATCCAAAATTACTTTTCTTCGAATTCCCCGTTGTGTCATTTTCAAATGCACTTAGGTTTGGTTATTAGTCTCGATTTAGTACAAAATCAAACCATACGTACTTACACACACATACATCTACACATATATCATATATAGATATATAAGTATGTATATATTATAGTATGTAATATGTTTATGTATTTATATAGTATATACAATTGACACGTACAAGACACACCCACACTGCGTCACTGTTGTACTTAATATTTTTGTGACACGATCTACAGCTATTATAACGCATGTATTATTAATTTCAGATAAATGTATTTAACTACTATAGTAGGTAGTAATTAAAAATTAAAATACCTACAACCCTAATATATATATTTGTTATGTAAAGGTGTATACCTATATATATTATTTACGTACCTGCCGGCTATAAATGTAAATTATAAGACTGTATAATATATTTACCGATATAAACCAATAAACTCGGTTATATTAAAACGATAAATTACATTAAAGTATTAACAGTATAAACACAAGTATATAATAACAAAAATAATAAAAATGTTATATGTTATTTATGTATATTGTATAATATTATGTTATTCAACATAGGAATCAGTGTTATGACTGTTGTTACGTGCCAATATCAGATCCAGATCCAGGGTGTTATTTAAATGAAATTTACAACTCTTAAGAACAATAATGTTTTATTATGTATAAATAAAGTTCATGTAACTAATACAAAAAGTGGCTGAGTGTTGTGAAGTTGCTCAGGTCTTCGTGGCTCTGGTACATCTGCCCTCGTTGGTCTCTGAACTCCCTTATATACGAAGGAGTCTCTTGTTTTTGTAGTCGATTACCTTTCAATTAGTATTAATTCTTGGAATTGTTTTCACACTTGTTTTATCGATAACAACAATTTCCAGGATGTCTTCTGTTCCCAATTGATCAATTCGTGGACATGCAATAATATATTTATTATCGACCTCGGCACACGACCGCTATTTTGATATGTTTATTATGATGTTTTTAAAACAAGATTCATAGAAATATGAATCTACTATCTCGTATATATTATAGACATATAATATATTATATTATTACATTAGGCCACATATTATATATATCTATATTACTATTGCTAATACTTCTAGCAATATTACATATTATTATATTATAATATACTTATATTTATTAACATATCTCGTAGCCCATAACACTGTTATGTATACAATAGGTTCAATTATTATCTAAAGCTTAAAAATGTAATACGAAATTCCTCATAAATTGTTCTTACTGCAGTGACTTATATATATATATATATATATATATATTATATATTATATATAATTTTTAGATATATCACACTCAATTATTTTTCCACTTATTCTAAGTTCTAATTTTGATTAAATTGACTTCATTAAAAATAAAAAATTAATTTACTTATCGTATTGTAATACTCGAAAAATATTATTCGTAAGGATTAGAAACTTTTCATCACACAAATCATTGTTTACAATACACTATATAAATTGTTAAGACATTTAAACTAATTATTCTAAATTATTAAGTTATTTATACCTCGAACCTGTACATTTTATTATATGATATTTACTCAAAACTTAGTAACAGCCATTATAGTAGTAGTATTATATTTATTTATAAATTATAAGCAGACAAGAAGAAGCATTCAGTAGAGTAGTGCAGTCAATTGCGAGTACAACTATATAGTCGGTACAAAATATATTATGCAATAATATTATATTATAGTATAAGCGATTCGTTTTTGTCAAAAATTAGTTCAACATAGGTATTATCTTATGCGAAGAGATGTGTTAATTAAATCATGTACTTCGGATACTCGTCAAGTAAAACCTATACTCTATAAGTTCAACTATATAGTATTCAAGTTTTTACTGTAATATAGATTAAATCGGTACATAATAGGTAATATATAGACACATAGTACACAGTATACATATTGCTAACAACGCTATTCCACACGTTCGAAACTCAATGTTATACTTGTCTTATCGATTATTATATAAATGTGCAGCGCGTGTTCACAGACAAGAATGAGTTTTTACTCTTTAACTCACACACACACACACACACACACACACACACACACATATATAATGTGTTCGGACATTTGTCAAGATGCGAGAGAGAACTTTAATAAACCAAAAAAAAACTTTAGAAAACGCCCCATCAATGTCCCCTGGCGTCCAGTAAACGGAAATTGTCCCTCTGGGTAATCATTTTCTTACCGCCGCGACAAACTCGGAGAGAGTATATCGTGACTCGTGGACCTCTAAAACATATATATAATATATGATACGCTCTTCTGAAATCAACGCGACACACTGCCGGGGAGTACGCACACACGTATTTATACGTCGCAGACACTCCCATTTTCAATATTCTTGGCAAGACAATATTATATAC